TATGAAGGGTAAGATCAGCTGGGCAAAGTAACGGTCTCTGGTTTTAGATACACTCCAGAATTTTAACCATAGTGAAAATTAAAGCTTTTTCATGATCCTCAATCATAGATTCAAATAAGTTTATTTAATCTCTGTTTGCTGTTTCTTATGTTATCAAAATGATACCATCCATATATAAGTGGGGGGAATGCCCCCAAAGAAGCCAGTGCTAAGTGATAGGGAATTGGGGTAACAAACCAGGCAGGGGTGTGTGGAATGAAATATTGTGTAAGTGGCCATGGCTAGCTAGCACTTTAAATGGAAACACGCCACACTGTAACATTTGGCTTCAAATCCCCCTTGAATCATAGAAATTTTAAATAGCTGCTTAGTGCTCTTTTTTGCTGAAAGAATTGTGACAAGTACAATCTCATGGTAGATAAGAGGGTGTTCTGGTGCTATAGCAAAGTAGAAAATATGACCACATTTTACAGAAGGGTTCTTTTTTCCACTACACTGTGGTTCACTGCATTAGGCTACCAGGCCTAGGAATGCCCTTATCTTTGGAAAATCCATAACCTATAACCTTGAGCAAAAGGAACATATTGTATAGGAGAACTTAAGAAGACCTGCCAGGTAAAGAGGCATGCACACATCTCTCTCTTTTTTTTTTTACCAGTCACCTTGTTTTCTCTGTAGATTTAAAGGGTTTCAATAAAGAAAATTATGACAATTGATACAGAACAGCCTCTTAAAAAGGGAAAAATACAGTACCTGCTAATCTCTAACTGTACTATTGCTTAGACTTCTCCAAAAATCCTTGAAAGGGCAACTCACTGGATCATGCCAGTTATGTTATCCGTGCCACTTCTCTGAATGCTTTTTCTCCAGAGCCTGCATAATTCCTTAAGGACTAGCTTCCAGTTAGGGCTGTATCCTGTTCACCCTTACCTCCTGTGTTTTGTTACAGAAGCAGGAATTCCTTCCTCCTGACAGACAATTTGCAATGTCAGTTTCCCAACTCTGTCAGATGATGGGACAACAACAGTTCATCACATTTCTTTCCCTTCACCTGCTGCATATTTTGCTGGCTTCCTTCAGTTCTTCCCTCGAAAAATCTAGTGGAGAATTTGCTGAGTTTTTGGTTTTGTTTTTTACATTTTCATATCAAAATTTAAGATTGTTTGGGAGCCACACATTCTGACCTAGACTTTTATCATCCTGATGAAGTCCTCCTTATTTTCATATCCTTAATTTGGGAAACAGCTTTCAAAAACAGAATTCAGCAACTCTGCTTCAGATTGAGAAATGCCTGCAAAAAAAAAAAACTTTGAATATTTCATGTTATTGGCATGTAAGCATTCATTTGGTGAAGTAGAAATAGGGTGGTACTTTTGCCTTTATTCTGATACTGTGACCTTGATAATTCCAGACTCTAGTGTCTCAATATTAAATGCAATCTGTATTCTCTTGCTTCTGCTGTGCATAATATAACTGCACGTGACCCTTGCTCTGTCAATTCAATGCTGTATCACCTGTCAGTTTATTATCCCAGTTACAGTAGGCCTCTGAGACTTTAAGAAAGCATGGTTGTGAACTAGTAGAGCCTCTTTCTTCAGTACATCTGGGTAGAAGCAAAAACTATATATTGTCACATGGTGATACCTGTCGTATACTAAACTCTTTTTGGTATACAGAACCATCCAGAGATTGTAACTTGAACCCTACATTTGTCAATAATTTGTACTGATGAATTACCAACTATGGTTTAGTCTTTCTTAGTCTGAAGAAAAGTCACAAGGGTAAGTAATAGTTTGGCAAATTATTAATCATCAGTCGGCCACTGAGGTACCAAAACAGGTATTTTTCCCCTGCATTCTTGTAGAGTTTCTCTCTATATTGTTTTATGAATCTGCATTTCTTTATCCCGCAAAGGATTCACTCCACCTGGTTTTAAATTCTGATGTGATGTTGCTTCCCTGTTCAAGCTTCTTGCTAAGAACATTAGCAAACCAGGTGAACAACTTATAAAGAAGATTATCTCACAAAATAGAAGGATTAAATCTCCACTTCTCTTGTCTTACTGTTGCTTCTTTTGACACTTGCTAATTGAGGTTATAAACATCCAGATAAAGTGCCAAGATGATTCATGACAGCAACCTGTAATATGGTAGGAAAACATGACCAATAGTCTTTCTTTTAAAAGCCATAATCAATCTAGAATCAATTTAAAAACATGGATTTGATTGAGAGTCTTGAACTATAAGGCTTATCTGTCAAGTTGTTTGCATTTTCTCAGTGGTTTCTGTGATCATGTTTTCTCATTATTGTCATATATGTTGTCATGAATGAAGAGTTGAGAAAAATCTGGAGGAAACAAATGTATTGGCTTTTACCTTACAGTAATTAATTAGTAGAAGTAAGCAAATAATTAACAAAAATAAGCAAATAATTTTACTTTTAATTTTTTGCTGGCTTTTCCTTCCAATCAAGAGATCTTAGTACAACATAGGAATCCTGCATTTATTTAAGAACCAACTAGCTTCTTAATAAATTAAACACAAATCTTTCTGTACTTAAAGAAATGTACATAGAATTCCCTGGCCACTCCTCATTTATTTACTTCTTATTGGCATTGAAGGTGAACAATGAAATGTTACTGATCTTACAGACCTTTCAGGCTGCTGCTGACCTTATAGCTCTGGTTTCATCTAAATAGCCATTACTTCCTGTCATTGCCTGTAAACAAGATAAACATGATCCACAACATGGAAAATTAATGTAGACTCTCATTTGACTGGTTAAGACTAGCACCTCATCTGTGGGTCGACACTGCCAGTTACATAGCATCTAAACAGAGCTGCTTCTCCATGTCAGGGTTTCAAATACACCCAAAGGCTTTTGGTGTCATTTATCACAGAGTAAAATGTCTCCAAATTCTTTCTTTTCTTTTAGTTATATCAAAGCATAAGCCTCATGAGTAAATCTCTCCAATTTTTTTTAGAGTAAAACATATTTGCAAGATAGGAAGGTTTTAAATGGTTATTGTGTACTAATTTAAGTTCAACCTTCCTACTCACACCAGCATCCCTTACACATTCAGGAAAAGTGGAAAGCATTTTAATACTGGGGCTACTGCATAGCCAAAGGTTTTGCTACAGATTTCACTAAATATTACAGCTTTCATTACACTTTAAGTGGCACGACAGGATCCCCGGCTTTGTTTCTTTACTTACTGTAATGATTCACTATGGCCCTGGGAACTAATCAGTAGTCCTAAGTTCTACTATCATGAATTATAAGGCAGATGCAGGAACCAGCATTTGGAAGCCATTTTCCGATAAGTAGCTCTTCTTTTAAGCCGTACAACTTCCTCCTCTAGGTATCCATATTCTCATTTGTAGGAAAAAGGGGGGAAAAACCTATGCTGAAATGAAATACAAGGCTATAATTCTTTACCTTTAAACACACCATCATTTAGGGATTTAGGTCATCTTCAGAGCCTTGAGCTCAGGATATAAGTAACTTTTAACAAGTTTCATATAAATCCAGGATGACTTGGGCTTTAATCTTGCAATCAGCATTCCTTTCACTCCCTGTGCTATCTAGCAAATATGCTTTGTGAACCTGGGAGAATGTGATATAAAGGCTGAAACTCTGTTGCTTGGCATGAATAAGGCACTCTAGAACAAGTCAGAACTGGAATAAGCCCACTGCATTAGTAGAACTTGTGGAGGAGCTGACTTAAAATCCATGTGGGATAGTGGGCCTGTTCTGCTGGCAAATTACTCCATTAAGCAATAGGATTTCATCCAGTGTGTCAGGGGAGGAAAGGATGTTATGTATGTAAACATCTTTTTAAAATGTTCCATATGTGTTTAAAGTTTGTGTTGGAAATAGCTTTTTAGATACCACCATCACTTCATGTTTCTAAAATCACCCAGTGTAGGAGACCAGTCTTGAAGCTAACAACACTCATGATGACAAGCTTCTAGAAGGAATATAGCTTGGCAAATTATTTCAGAGCATCTTATCTGTAAATGAGATTTTTAAATGCATATTTCAACCCTTATCAAAAAAGAAAATGTTCAATTTCAGATGCTAAAATAACTGTAAAGAAACTTTGAATATTCCTAATGTCCATATAGTCTACATATCTTGCCTCTTATTATGAAAATCAATCTGGACACTTCTTTGAGAGCAGGTATATGAGCCAGCATTATGATTCAATGTCCTGATTTTAAAACAAAGGAAATTGGAATATTCTTATATGTATGGAATTTCACAAGTAATAGGATATATTTAAAAGGTCAGATCACTCTTGTTAGTAAAGAGTTCTGTGTTATGTTTACATTAGGACTACAGTACACTTTTTCTATTATTACTTTTAGGGGAGGAAAGCCCCTTAAAGTTATAATTGTTATTGATGGGAACTTCAGTAGGTTACTAGCTCCTCTTTAACACATTCTGAGGTTTATAACGTAAGGACCAAGAATAGGCAACTACAACAGTAAGCCTATACATCTACTAGCTTTGTATGACGTACTTTATGACCTCTAAGTTACAGTAACTTATTAAAACTATCTCCAGGACCATTGCAGTAGGACTATTTTCCATATCTTTTTGTAATTGCTGCCATATTACATTACAGACAGGGATTTTTTTTGTGGGTGAAATCAAAAACATTGAACCATTAATTTTAAAGTGGTTTTAAAAATTTAAAAAGAGTATTCTGAGCTCAAGGTCAAACACACACACACACACACACACACACACACGAACTAGATTTGGGGATAAATTTCTTATCTCTAATCAGTGATTACTTTGCTACTTCAATACCCGATCTGGATCACTGCCTGAAGACAGCATAAAATTGCATTCCTATTCACATTTACTTAAGAATAAGCCCTGTTTAATTCAATGGCTGAAACCTTGTTGGTGTAACTTACACCATATAAGCCTGATTATGTGTACAGTGGCAATTTTTCAGAAATTAAATATGTCCCACTTCTCTCCCAAAGGTCCCAGGGCTCCCATAGAATCAATTTCATCAATTACTGGAAATCACCACACCCGGGGATCCCTTTAATGATGAAAGGGATTCCATAGAACCTTCAGGACAGAAGTCGGAAATGTTTACTGAAAAAAATAGCTGCTGCTACTGCCGCCATCAGCCTTATGAGGTGTAAGGCACCAACAGGATATCATCCAAAGAGATGTACTTCCGAGTAGATATGTATAGAATTGTGCTGTATTGGACCAACAATCTCTGCTGATACGATAGTAACGGATTCCTGATGCTGCTATTCAATGCGAGAATTAATTGACTACCAGCACTTAAATCAA